ATTAATGGCATCTGTGTATTATATCGGTGAACCATTGCAACATCATTTTGGACACAATAACAATCTTTTGTTGAGTGGTACGATTTGGATTTTATTATGTAAATTAACGCTTGAGAATGGGCTGCGCAAGAAGAAATTTAGTTTTAGTTTCTATAAAATCTTGGCCATCATCAATTTCTGTTTTATACATGGTTTTTTCACTTTCTACGGGAAAATGACAAAACCGATCTCACAAACCAAAAGTTCATTTGTAAAACCCTTCAATCATAAAACACAGGTGTGAACATAAAAAACTATCATTTAATTTTTATCATTTCTGAATTTTCCCATTCACATCTGCCCTCTTGGCAATAAAACTGCATATAATAATACCTCCGAATAAACATAAGAGTCTGTTAATTGATAGAAAGGATAAGGGCCTCAAAAGATAATTAGAAAAAATATATAATTTGGTTGGCAGCAGTGGTTTTGGTCACGTGCCAACCCATTTGATAATCATTTTACGGTTTATTTTTTTTTTCGAAGCGCGTGCACCTAAACCACTAAAAACGCCGATGTAGCAGATAAGGGCCACTTTAAAAACATACAGAGTTCACAAATGTGACACTTTTTACTGTTTCAAGTAATTTATGGCGGAGAATTTTTAAATTATTGTAAATTTACTTGTTTAGTTTTATCTTATTAAACTGTTTTTTAAAAGATTCAAATTTTCATAAAATCAATGTGGTTGTTGTTCTATACATATATACAGGGTGTCCCTTACCCAACATAAACCTCAGTTGGTCAGTTTTTATTTAGCTGCTTATATTTTGTTAAAAGATATTTTGTACCCGGCCATGAAGTCTTAACCTATATCAAAGAAGCTTACTAAATAATTCCATAACTAAAAATAAAATTAACATATTTTTATCGGTTTTTAATACGGGTACCTACAATGGAAATTCTTCTTAAAACATCTCAAGGTTCTCTTTGTTTCACACAAAATCAAGACGACATTTTTTGGGCGAATTGTTTAACGAATGGCTATTGATTTTTGCAATAATAAATAATAGAAGTTTTGAAATAAATTTCACAGTCAATTTCGTGAAAACGATCTAATCAAAATATCGCATGCAAGCTGATTATCGCAGATTATCGCAAAAAGTTGTTTATTGAATACTAAAAGCTAATTAAAATTAATTTATTTGTTGTTCATTAAATGTTTTAAATAAAACATGAATATTTATAGGTATTGTTACGAGAAATTTACGACTCTAAAAGTTTTTTCGAGTCACCTGAAGTAATATATAAAAATACATAAATTAATTTCAGTAAAAAAGCGATTAAATTTTCCATATTTCACAATAATTATTTGTCCCCATGCATGAGAAAAAATTTCTGACTGCTAATTTTTAATTTATTAATACATACCTACATAAGTATTTCTTTAAATTGTAAATCCATGTATTGACATACCTAGTCATTAATTTAACTACCATGGTACCATACAAGGAACATTTATTTTTTATGTAGGTAGGTTTCAAACCCATACGTTAATGAAAATTTATTAGTCAATGAAAATAGCGGTAAAAATGTGTTAAATAATCAGATCTCAAAAATTAATACATTGACAATCATAGAAAACCATGTATAATTTATATAAAATTGTGTACCTTACCTTTTACATTGTAAATAAAAAAAACACATGTTTTAAGCACAAAATTTGAAAAAATCTACCAAGCATTTTTACAATTAACAAATGAGCATGTGCCATTAACAATTGAATGGCATTTTTAATTATTTTTTTTAATAGTGTATTAAAGAATCAGTTTTCAGCCAAAAACTTAACCAAATTTTCGGCTCTTCTTTTAGTTTCGGCCAAACCCAAAACTAGTCAAGTTAAAATTTAAAAAAGTTGAAATTAAATTTGGTTAAAATTTCAATATGTCACATTGTAGTGTTTTTTCTAGCTTTCTGGCAGATTATTCGGTTAGATTAAATAAATAGTGCCTATAATTTATTAGAAAGTCGGATTTTCAAAATCACTTTATTTGTTTATTACGTATAAATATTATTAATATTATTATTACTTATAATAATATAAGTTATAAATATTATTAATTAATTTAAATTTGATTTTGAAATTTATCGATGTTTTTCACTCCATATTTTTTCATCTAATATACTTGGTTTTGACCGAGCCGAAAGCAAGTTTGACCTTTTCACGAAAGTGAAATATGCAATTCCAAATGTGTTTTAGACTACTTTTTCTACGTTTCCAAAAAATACCATAAAAAAATAATGTAATTGGGAGAAAGTGAGGTTGGATCGGTCTAAAAGTTATTAGATAATAAACACAGAGAGGTCGCCACCAGTGTTTATTTCGTCATCCGGTGATAATAACTCATTCTGTAACACTTTAAGAAATATATGTAATTTTCCATTAAAAAGTGATATAAGAACGGTCATATTCCGTAATAGGGGTAGAAAAACGAAGTTTTAAGTGTTAGTCTTAAAGTAAAAGTTAATTTATGATTATGTGGTTTAAAAAGTTTATAAATTATTATTATAATATCTAGATATCTCAAAAGGGTTATAAACAAGATTTTATTGCAATTTAGAGCTCATTTAAATATTTAAACATAAAGGGTGTTCCAATAAGGTGGATCGATGTCAACATTGATTAACACAATGTTGTAATTTGTAAAAAAAAATGTGTGAAAGGTAATATCGGCCAAATGTTCGCCAACGCTTCGGCCAAATTTCGGTGGGGTTGGTGAGCCAAATTTTTGGGCAATTCTGTTAAGGTGAATGGTGTGCGTAACCGTAGAATAGTATTTTTATGGCCAGAATTGGATGCTATTGATATTCATTCATCGACGATTTCTAGTTTCAATAAGCTAGTGCCACATGCCACACAGCCAATGCAACAATGTTTTTATTGAATGATTATTTGAAGGCGAAATCAATTGGCTACTAAGATCGTGCCTTTGGTCTTCTTTCGGGTTATCTCAAGAGTTACCTTAAGGTCTATGCCAACTAGCTATCAATAATTCAATAGCTAAATGACGAGATAATAAGGCAAGTTGATGAGATCGGGGAGCAATTCTGCAGATATGTCATCAAAAATTAGGTCCATCGAGAGACTAAATGTCATGTACTATTAGTACAGTACTAATCATGATTCAATAAAGAAATATTATGTTTTACAAACAACTTTGTATTATTTACTTTTAACATGATCTCAAGTGGTTAAAGTAAAAGATATATTATCGGATTCTTCTAATATTACATGTGTTCCTCAGGGCTCAATCCTAGGACCTCTGTCTTTTACTATTTATGCGTCCAATTTTTCTGGGTAGTCTTGCAACTACCACTTCTATGCTGATAATACTCAGATTTACTATTCTTTCCATTGGTCAAAAACCTTAAAAGAAATTAAATGTTTAACGAAGATATACAATCCCAAATAATTATTGACCAATCTCAAAAGCACGGTCATAATATAAATCCTGAAAAGTCTAAGGTTTTGATATTTGAAAGAAAAAAATTAGTTGCAGCCTAAGAGCATGTAAAAATTTATATAAATAATATTCAACTACAAATAGTGGAGTCGGCCAAAAATCTAGGCAATATACTGGACAAACAATTGCGATTTTTAAGTCAAATTTCCTTAGGCTTCAGAAAACCATTTTTAAATTTAAAACTCCTCTTTCCCTTTCGTCAAATAACTCAATAAGAAACTAAGTAAATGCTCTGCGATTCCCTTGTTATATTCCATTTTAACTTTGGAGATACCGTTTTTGATGGTTGTTTTACTAGAGAGGATTCTTATTCATATAATAAATTTTAAAGACAATCTATGGAATATCTACCAGTTAATTGTGTTTATATACAGGGTGTTTCGAAATTAGGGGGCCAAACTTAAACAGTGCATTCTTTATAGAAAAGTCACACTTTTTTGTTAAATAAACATGTATCAAAAAATGCCCCCTAACGGAGCTACGGCCCCCTGAATAGGAGCCTAAGAGAATAGTTTTTTTTAAACTATTCCTAGAGCGTTAAACATGAAGAAATGAAATTTTGGCACTTTGGTAATTTTTAGATGCTGAATCAAGATCTTAGATCAAAACTGTTAAAATATAATCATAGGCGTAACATTTGGGGGGGGGGAAAGTTATAAAAATAGCCCCCGCTTTTTTCAGAGATAATATTTTAATTTTTTTTATGAAATTATGAAAACTTATAGTTTTTTACAAAAAATAGGTAGTCTTGATTTGAATCGCTCAGATGCACCATTTTCGAGAAAAATGCATTTATAAATTACTCTGCATAGCATACACATCTCATATTTTCGTTAAAATTTTGTGTTAAATTTGAAAAATCGCTCCATAATAAAAAATAACAAAAATCGAGCCAAAAAATATTAACTAAACTATAAAAATAAATGTAAAGTCAGCAAATAACCCAAACGTCACTTTTGTCCCAAAGCTTTTTAATGAAAATATTAGAAATTATGCTAAGCATAGTAATTTAAATTGCAATTTTCTCGAAAATGGTGCATCTGAGCGATTCAAAGCAAGAGTAGCTATTTTTCGTGAAAAACTATACATTTTTATAATTTTATAACAAAAAATTAAAATAATCACTCTGCAAAAAGTTGGGGCTGTTTTTGTAAATTTGCCCCCTCAAATGTTATGCCTATGATTAAATTATAACAGTTTTGATTATAGATCCAGATTCAGAATGTCAAAATTACCAAAGTCCCAAAAATTCAGGTCTTCATGTTCAACCCTCTAGGAATAGTTTAAAAAAAATGATCCTCTTAAGCTCCTATTTAGGGGGCGTAGCTCCGTTAGGGGGCATTTTTTGATATATGTTTATTAAACAAAAAAGTGTTATTTTTCTATAAAGAATGCACTGTTTAAGTTTGGGTATCAAACATCAGAAATTTCAAAGCAATCTTAATGAATTCTTCCAAAGTGGTTTAAGAGAGATTTGAACGCGTTTTTTGCTTTCAGGATTCAGTGCACACAGAAGTTCCCGGTGCGGAAGGCGGAGGCCCGGAGGGCGGCAATTTTTTAACGGCAGCGGGCGGCGCTACCGCTGCAGCCTCCGTAGCAGGAGCTCGCCAAGTCAACAGCAGGCACCGCGGCGGTCAACGCAGGGTAGCGGCTTCAGGCAGCTTCAGCGACAGCTCCTCCAGTGTCAAACGACAAGTAAGTAAACGAAAACTTAACCTCAAATGTCAAAAATAAGGATATTAGTTGGTTCGGCTATCAGAATTGATTTGTTTTGACGTTTAAATGACAGACAAAGTACACTGAGAAAAAGAAATATTTATTATTAAGAAATCAAAACAGTTGCGATTTTTTTAAAATATATCGATGACTTTCTGCCAAAGTATCGCAAGCAACATAACTCAAATTTCGGGAATTGAAAACATTATTCTTAAAGTCTGTTTTAAATTAAATATAGCCTAAAGGATTTATAACAAGTAAATAACTTATAATTATAGCTATTTACTTGTTATAAATCCTTTAGGCTATATTTAATTTAAAACAGACTTTAAGACAATAATGTTTTCATATTCCGAAATTTGAGTTATGTTGCTTGCGATACTTTGGCAGAAAGTCATCGATATGTTAACTATTAAAAAATTTCTTAATCGTAAACAAATTATATACTAATTATTATAACATCGTCCGGTGATTGTGTTTCAGACAAATAAAGGATAAAGTTGCCTTAGAACTGTGATATATTAACAGTTAATATACCTAAATTCGAATAAAACGTTTCATAACATAATTTTAAATGCAATATGCTCAAGCATGTGACGTTGCCGTAGTTTTTTACAAGAACTTCGAGAAAGGCGGGATTAATTTGATAAAAACGGAGCATTTATAGAAAGCACGATAGTTTTATAGTATTTTTAATTTTCATGTAATTAGGTAAATCAAAATATTATTTTGACAAACACAAAACCACTAATTAAAATAATTCAAAATATTTATCTCAACTGTTCAAGATTACTTTACAAAATATTCGCTGGTATAATTTTAAAACTATAGCCAACACACATTTTATTTAATATGAAAAAAAGCCATTTGAGAAAAATACAAAAATAATGATTGCAAATATTCTCAAAACATTGAGCGGAATTTCGATATATTAACAGTTAATATATCCACATTTGCTAATACGTTATGAGCTTCTTTAATTCAACTTAACCAGTTCTTAGACCCAAATTAATATTTCTTTCGCCATATCCAACTCAACGATATGTTAATAGTTAACGTGCCTCGTTATTAACAAATATTTCTTTCTCTCAGTGTAGAAGATAAGTTTTATCTCCACGCGGTCTATAATTTAAACTTGTTGTCAACATTCGATAAAGAAATACCTTGTTATGGCCTAGGCCGATAAAAATTTTTATTATTTATTTTTAATTTCTTTAGTTCGATTTTTTCTCGCTAGGGGTATTGTTTTGACAAATTAATCCTTTTCTAAGAAATTAACGTACTAAACTGGCTAAATTTATTTATAATAAGCACTAATTTGTTTGTTTTACTGTTAATGTTTAATATTTTTCATTAAATTATTATAAAATTAAATATGAATAATAAAACAAAAAGTGAGGTTAGGCAACCAAGAAATCGCACGATTCTTTTTCTACGATTTAAATTATCTTTAAGTTTTAATTTGCTTTAAGTTTTCACTGAAATTAAATGTTAAACACAGCTTAAACATTCCAAACTACCTATTTTTTAAATAAAAATCCATAAAATTGAAATTAGATACCTAACTATTTATTAAACAATTAATTGAATTCAATGTAATAGCAAAAATCCATTTCTAGTTAAATCATGTAGCTAGGTATTGTCAAACTATTACTGCTTCTAAAAGCAATAATAATTATTGTACATTTAATGTAATCTTTAGCTAATAAATAAATGAGACTCTAAAAAAGTGAGGTTACCTAATGAGATAAATAACTATTATATTATAGACTTCTTGCTTTGATATATACGATGCGAATAAGAAAATATTTGCACCGATTACTTGTTTTTTAAGGAAAAATTAGGAAATAAAAATGTGTTTATAAAAATAAACTATGGAAAATATGCGACAGATAAATGTTTTTTAATCTTGTTTAATACTTTTTTACGATTAGGTACAGTTTTTTCTTCTAGTTAAGTTAAGAATGTTAATTATTGTAGAAGACATGCTGTAATTTTTAATATACAGTTCGGATTTTATTTGAATCATTAAAAAGGTAGATGTTAATAGGTTTATAACATTTATACCAAATAGTAGTTCCAGTTTGAAGAACAGGTTTACCTAAGTGCTTATGGTCGAAATTTCTTGACCAAATCAGATAATAAAAAAATACAGAAATAATTTAAGTATTTAGTCAGTGTGAGATACAGACGTAGGTACTATAAAAATTTCGACACACGTATAAAAATTAAGGGCAGGGCCGTATCGATTTTTTTTGAAAAATTATGTTTTCGTTTTAATTTGCAAAATTTTTAACTTGTATATATACAATGTAATATTTTACCCAGAACTAATTTTTTAAATATTAAGATAACTCAATATTTTAAGTTTTAATATATTTTTTAATGAGATAATTTAAAATACAGTCCTTTAAAATAGGTCTAATAGAGAACACTCTATGTTAATTTACGTATTGGAATACAAAATTGTATTATTAAATCCGTAGGTGTACACTGTTCTTAAATGGAATACATTAAGGCATACATGCGGTACGGTGTCTTAAGAGTGCGCAATGTACAGTAGAATATCGATTTCAGTAATCATTTTAAACACATTTGGCAACATGGTTAAAAATCATTAAAAACCAAATTTATTGTTTTAATTAGTTGTATAAAAAGTTTGACTTATTTAACGACTTTATCTTCTATAATAACTGCCGTTTTTAATGGCATACCTACATATTCGAAATAAAATTGATTGGAAATTTATTTTAAATCGTTACCGTATACCGTACATTTCGTAGCGGAATACTTTTTTTTGAATTAATGAGATTTATATTTAAAAATTATTTAAGTTAATTATAATATTGGCCTTTAAAAGTTTGTAGTTACAAAAACAACTATTTAAAGTAGGTACTGCAAATGTAATTTATTATTTTTTAATTATAATATAAACACACGGTAGAAATTTAAATCTCAGAAAAGAGTTTTAGACACCGTTTTTTAAATTTATAGTTTTAAAATTGCATCATTTACTACTAAGGTGTCAATCTTAATTTGCATAAATAATTTTTTTTGGTATCCTTTTAACGTGTGAGAAGTGCTTCTTGTAATAGAGGAGGTTATTTTAAATTAATTATTAATCATTTTTGTACAAGCCACTCAAGTCAACAAATTGCTATAGAACAGTTCTTAAATATAAAATTAATGTATTTATGATAAAACTATATTTATACATTCATTGGGTTTAATAGTATATTATGTATCAAGTTTGATAAACGCCATTTTATACACGAATTAAATTAATGAGCGTATAGAAAAGTTTATAAACGAGGTGCATACTACTTTTTCTACGACATATACTTATTATTATCTTAATATGATTTAAAATTTGTATTGAGCGCCATCTATGAAACAATAGGGGAATCTGTGTGTCACCGTCAAATGTCAAATTTTTTTATTTTATATACACAATTATAAAGGTTATAAATCGAAATGTATTTCTTGAAAATTAACAGTTTTTCACAGTGAAAGTAAAGAAAATGTTTTATGAGCACTTTACAGTGGAGTCCGTGCCCGAATTTAAGTTATAGTTTACTGCCGGCGAAATTAAAAGGTCAGTACAATGTTCATATAAACTTTTCAAATATTGGCGTTGAGAAACTATTTAATACTTTTGTATTTTTGTATTGAGATAATAAAATAATTTTCACATTTAGTACCTATTATTTTACAAGAAAGGCACTTTATTTTAACGATTGTATGACATTTGACAACTGTCAACTAACTTAAAACTAACTTCAGCCCGTGACTAAAAACCTGTTGCTAACTTTAGCCCGTGACTAAAGCGCCATAAAGCCACAACTTGTCAATGTGTATTTAAAAGGTCACTTAGTGTCATAGAAAAATGTACGATAAAGGGCTTTTTAAAGGTGGAGTAGAAAAAATGCTTTATAAGGGAGCTATGTGAGACTTACAGTGGTCAAAAACAACGTACCGTTTTGCGTAATTAATTCCACAATTTTTATTAAAAATAAATATGTTTTATTTTATTTTATTTTATTACATTTTCCCGTTTTTACCATTTGGCTGTAATAATAACTTTATTATTATTAATATTATATATGTTTTATATAAATATTTTTTTAATCCCCGAATTATAAAATAATATATTGTTTCAAACTTACTTAAGAATTTAATATTTATAATAATAAATTATTTATTATTATTAATAATATAGATTCTATATAGGTATTTTTTAATCTCGTAAAAATAACTTATATTACTAATTTTGTTTTTTTTCTCGGTAAAATAAAATTAATAGTAGTTGTTTTTAATTGTTTTTTTTTATTAGAAAGGCTAAAGTCTATGTTACTATCTAAATATAGTTGTTAGAAATTTAAAAGAAACGCAGAAGGTACTCATTTTGCACAATCTCTAAATATAATTTGTTATTAATATATATGTACAGTTGTATTCATTAAAAAAGCGTACAAGAATTAGAATGAGAGAAAACTGTCAACATTATTGCGTAAAACCGGCTTTCCACTGACTTAAGTCACTATAACTGACAGTAGAAAATAAAAATGCCTTGTCAGTTAAAAAGGCTCAAATATTATCAAGAAACGAAGAAGAATGGTCAATTCGTACAGTGGTTAATAGAAATAAAAAATCTAAATTAAAAATTAAGCAACTCTGGAAACAGCAAGATTTACTAAACCAAAAAGTTGGTTCAGGTCGTCCCAAAATGTCCACCCCTGAACACGATGCTGCTTTTTTGGGATATCTAAGAATTTATGGGAAACTATACAACTACACTATACCTACTATACTGCTGGGAAGATATTAATCCAAATATTGTATTAAATTTAATTCAGTTCATCCCAAATAGATTGGCTCAAGTAATAGAAAACGATGTGGCTCCCGTCCCGAGGCGGGACTTAACTTCGATCCCGACAGACGTCACACACTGTAAATCCGTTTTTATTCCCCGAGCTTTT